TGTACAGATTTGTGAAAGGGTTTGAAGTTAAAAGCACCATAAATGACACATGACTTAATTCTGGCATTAGAAGACCAAGAAAATTCCGATCCAAAGAGATCATCTCAAAACCATTGATAGAGTTATTACTGAAACTTTACAAAAATCCCTTAGACAGTCCTGTATGATCATGGTAGCACCTTTGGTAAAACTAGTGTTCATAAAATCCCAAAATTTGATTTTAAAATCGATTCCTTACAAGTGTAATGCAGCATTTGAAAAAGACAGAAATAAAAAACCGTTTGAGTTTGCCCACTGGGTTCTAATTAATCCAAACTCTTAAAATTTAACATATGCATATGATTTTCCGAAGAAGGCCAGTTCCATTTTAATAATGTTGTTAAAAAGAATATTAAATTCTATTGTTTGTTGAAACCCTATTTTAATGTGGTAAAACGTCTGAACTGTAAGAATGTTACTTTTTTTAAAGCTTGGTAAATTAAAACTACAGAAATCATGTTTAATCAATGATAATTCCAAGATACGTCATTTGGAAAATGTTGTAAAAGGACAAATTATTCTTAAGAAAAAATGTGGATGTTTTATAAGGATACTGTAACAAATGAATGCTTCACTAAAAGGTTCATTCTCTATATGGCCATCTTCCGGCCTACGATAAAATCACCTTAAAATATGATTTTATATAACTATAATCATTCTAGTTCGTAATTTTGTTGTTTGTTTTTCAACATTGATCATCTAAATCACGAGATTTAGAAATAAAAAATGGTTGTCAGTTTAAGAAAAATTGAGGGAACGTTATTTAAATCAAGTTTTTATGCATGTTTTTTAATGTAAATGATCAAAAATTGTTTATTTATTTCGAAAATACATCAGACCCAAGTAAAAAAAAATTCAAAGATTTTTTAGATTTAAAGTTCAAAATACTTTTTATGACAAGAATTCCGATGCATCCACATTTTGCATATTTTGAACGAAAATCTTGACGAAAATCACACTGAATGGTGCTGAAAAAAGTTTGATTTGCAACTTATTAAAAAGTATTATATCATATATAATTATATTATAATTGTATATCATATTTATAGATGTTGTACTTATTTTACGCATAAAATAACCATGTTAGAAATGAGGTTTTTAAATTTCTATTGAAATCTAAAAGTTATGTATCAAATGTTGAAAGCACTGAATGGATTTTAATTGTGATTAAATAAAACTAAAGTTGTAATTAAGAAAAGAAATTCAACAATTGCAAAAAATTTAAAGTATTAACAGCATAAGAATATCAATGCAAATACATGTTGACTATTTATATACATGTAAATAGTCAAAACATATACCTCAGAGCGGTTGCATTAAAATATACATCTCTAATTAAAATGAAATAATGTTGTAAAATGGATTTGCTTTTATTTAATCACTCATGTTGCACGATATATTCAATTAAAAATGCCGTCTAAACTTTATGTATTTACATGTCTAAAAGTTGAGAATCCCCCCCCCCCCGTGTCTAACGGCACAACATGAAATGGAGCAGAATTTTAACAGTTCCTTCAACTATGCATATCAGATTCTGAAGTTTTCGTATATATATATCAGGTACAAAATGGACCCTTACGCTTTGATGCTCCTTTCTCACTCTTGAAACTTGTAGGTTAAATTCAATCCCTTTCCCAGTACAGCGTCAAAAACTTGTTTAGCACTGATAGTGACAGTTCCATACCTTTAGCCTTTATCATTTACAGTAAATGTCATCGGTCTTTTGGATATTATTTTTTTTTAAAGAAGGGGCCCCGTCCCGCATTGGGCGTTGGTTATTAATGCAACTATGCATTTACAAACACTTGACCTTAAGTGGATGACTTCTTTATTTGGTTAAAAATCCTTAAAGTTGGGTAAAACAAGATTCAATTATATCGATTACATACTAGTATGACATTTAGGAATCCCTCTCCTCTTTACCAGTTATTTTTCTTAGACAGGGCTAATGATATCGGAACTTATATCAATGATATCAAAGAAGAGTGATAAATAGATTGAGTCCTCTTAATTTTTAGACCCAGTTAACAAAATATGGATCACATGATACTCGTACGGAGGTGTCCATATAAACATCATGTGTGTACCCATAGGAAAAAAAGTCTATAACACAAATAATAAATGCATGTTACCGCTTCAACAAAGATTACTTTCATCATTTCTAAAACATATACAGTACTTATAAGGAAAAACAATCTTAAGAATATATGGTGTACCCATAACGGAATTCAAAGAAGTAGCCTGAATAGATATACTAAAGTATCATTATAAATATAGAAGATAACTCATATTCACACCTTAAAGCTCATATAAAGTTTATTTCTTAATTTTTATCAGACATTTCAAAGAAACGTCTCCACTTGTAATTTCATGACATCCAGTCTTCTCAGTCCTTTGATTTTTAGATTTTTAAGTAAAAAGTTCAAATTTTTTTTTTAGTAAATATGTATGGCTGATATAAATCTGAGTAAATCAACAGAAAATTGTACTTTCACCAAAAGTTTATAAAAAGAAATAATCTACATCAGCTGATATCCTTCATTGTGAGTAGTTAGGTTTTTCGGCAAATATCGTAAAATTGAAGTGAAAAGTTTTTGTTTAGATGTCATAACCACCTTTAACCAAATTCATAATTTGGTAGTCACTTTTTATGTTTATAAGAAATGTAAATGCAAATTTTGGAGTTGGTTAAAGGTGGTTATGATATGCGTAGGAGTTATCTAACACAGCCACCCTCTTGAGTTTTCCCATTACTCTAATGCTAATACGGACCGATGGTACCTTACTTTGTGGCCCTATATCATAAAAAATACTATTGTATCATTAACCAACCAATATTTATCATTAACTTGGAACATAAGCCTAGTGATTCGTGTAATTTTTAAGGGAAAAAATACTATCTGAAAATTTAAAGTCATTGTAGGCCGCAAAACGGCCTTAAGGAGAATGATCCTTTATAACAAATTCATGATATATATTAAATTACATTACTGTAACTTAAGACATAACATTTTCATAATGGTTTTAAATTGTAACACATGTTTTGGGACACCTGTATACAGTGAATTGTCGACGGATTTTCTTAAGAAACATGAAAAGGAGCACACGGCAGATGTGATTAGTCGGCATGATATGCTCCATTGAGCCTGATCTAACCGCTGCTTTGAGGTTAGTTTTCCTCCTCTCCTGTTTTGTAATGTTAAGTAGAGTTTAAAGCTTAAATACTGTTCGTTTTCTCAACAATTGTCACGTACAAATAGTCGAAAAGTCGTATATTTCAATGTTATTAATCAAATATAATTTGATTGAATTTGTTGGTAATTTTTCGAAAAGTTCCCTTGAATTCTTCTAAGTATCCGGATCTGATTATTAATTTTTCTTGAATACACTGTTCATCACTCCTGAAGTTTTGTCTTTTCTGATGTAATAATTTGATAAAGAGTAAAGAAAAACTTAAGACAGCAGTTGGTTGTTTCTGCTATGTATTTTTGTTTGTAGGGATTTTAATGAAGTTTATGAAACCATTTAAGTCATTTATACACATGTCGGTTGTTGGATTATGAAAAAAAAATATTAATTGACATAAAATTTTGAAGAATATCATACATAAAGAAGGAGATATTGGAGTGTGTATACGTTGAATCATCTTTTGCATGTCAAATGCCAGCTCCTTAAGTACGATTGAAAAAACAAGATTCACAAAGACTACTGAATTGTTGCAAAAAGAAAATGTTTAAAATTATGCTATTTAAATGATTTTCAATGATAAAAAATATTCAAAACTGAATTAAATTTATTTTAATGAATCTACGACAGATTTAAAAGCAATTAAATAAGGAAATGAAATCAAGCTGAAAATATCTGAACAACACAAAAGATATACTAATAGCAAATATTGGTCTCCTATTTCACAATTAATTTTGTTTTATTATTTCATATTTCATATATTTATAAAAGAAATAAGTATTTATCTCAAAATAGAGGGATATTCTCTCAAGAATTTCATTTGACGTATGTGAACCTAAAAAAAAGAAACAAGAGGTACTGTGAATAAAGATTTATTTCCTAGACAATGACAAGGAGCACACGGCGGGTGTGACCGGTCGGCAAGGGATGCTCACTCTTCGATAATACCTGATCCCTCTTCTGATGTTTTGGATGTCTGTTTTTTGTTCTGCTCCTGTTTCGTATTATTTTATGGACTTTTGATCTTGAATACTGTTTGTTATCTCCATATGTTTCATTTTGAAAGTATCATTCATTTTTATTCAGGGGTATAGAAGGAGTTGCAGAAAAGAGCTGGAAACCCTTCAATGTATAAGTAAAAATGATTGTGTCCATGGTTTGATCTGGGTGAACCAAAATATGTGTCTGATCAAAATAAATAGAAGGTAACAATGGCACTATGAAAAATATTCTGTGAAAATTTTTTTTTTAAATTTCATTCAGTGCTTAAGGATGAGTTGCGGATTAGAGATAAATATCCGAAAGGGTAACAGACAGAAGTACAATCACTTTAGATTCTCCCGCTTTTCCAACGGAGGTTTTAAAAAGAGATATTAAGCAAAAATATTTTTTCTTGATCTATTTTACAAACTCTTGCAAACTAAAAATCTTACGTGTCTAAAACTGACATTCAATTTGAATCTACATTCACAAATGTTCGATTTAATGCTGCTGAAACCTATTTGACCAAACGTGCTTTTAGCCTACTTTTTCCTGTTCTTCAGTTTATTGTGCATATACAATATTCAACATGTACCGGGTATATTCTATTCACATTTAGTTGAAATTATAATAAGTCAACAATTGTAATTATACATGAAGTAAAGATATATATGATAATTCATAAATCCTTTACCATGAAAATCACTGTAATTTCAAACATCAAAAACAGTTTATTGCAAGAATGAAAATGCAGAGTCAGAAAATCATGAAATAACTATTCACTCTCGAATTTTTACAAGTTGTTAATAGATTATTCTTCATCAAAAGAATTGATTTTTGGATCATGAATCCTGAGATGACATCTTAGTTGTCCAATCATTTTGAAGAGACTTATTTCCTACATCTTTCCTTTATTTTCATGAACTGGCTTTATTTGCTTTCCTAATCTGGAGTCCTTTGTTTCATCCGCAACCTTCAAATGACTGCTATTTAAGAAAAAGTAAAAAAAAAAGCATTGTATCTAGCATTTGAATTTCAAACATTTATATATTTCATAACAATCCATTTGAATTCCCATGGGTATCAATTGTACCTAGCAGTCCTATTTTTGAATTCTTTTGAAGCAGAATTTATCCATTTAACCTTATACGTAAAAAGAAGAAATAACTTGCTGTGACCTCGACAATTAGATGAATTATATGGAGAAAACGAACAATATTTTCATTTCTATTTTTGTGCATGAATATCTCGTGCGCATCTGTCTTTTTGTCTGACGCTAAAGAGGCCAAAAAATGTAAATCTCGCATAGGACGAAAGACCACCTTAAAGCAATCACTTACTGGTAGCTTATATAAGTTAATTCCATAAGGCCACCATTAAGCCACCAATAAGCTGCATTTTATAGATGCCTAATATCCAAACTTCATTAAGACTACGCTTAATGGTGGCGTAATGACCAAACCTCATTAAACAATCTTTACGCATCCTGTATCAAAGAATTAAACTAACTTTTTAAGTTTAAAGTTTTTTTCAATATTAAATGTACGCAAAATCTAATTCAATTTATAATTTTTCCTCGATCGGTCTTGCTATTTAAAACATTTTTGTTAACATGCATAAATTTGCGCACTGAAAATAAAGTTAGCAAACAGCTTATTTTTTTCACTGCATGTACCAAAAAACAGTTTATTTTTAAATTATCTTTATCCATAAACAAAAAATATATAGTACAATGTACTTTTTACTAAGGAAAAGTAGGTATATTTCTTTCATATGTGGAAAGCGACGTTTCGCTGCTGAATTCATAGGAATATAGAGTTGTTTTCACATGAAAACATAATCTCCAAGTCCCTTTTCATGCTTTTGGAGGGAGGGGGTAGCAATATAAAAATGTTTAATTTTCAACTAACAAGAAACTATATAAACACAACATATAATGACAGATTTTGATAATGAATAATTTTTACAAATCTTAAATTTAGTGCAAGCATATAACATATTAAAAATTATGATTCTTTGTAAAAGGAAAATTATTTTGACTGTGATGTTAAAAGAATTTTAACTGAAAATGATATTCTGAAAAAAAGATTTTAAAAATGTAACTGTTATGCAAAGATTGTCACTAAATTTTAGACACAAAAACCTTTAATATCCGCAGCATATTAAAAAGAACAATATGTTTCATCATATTTCTTTTTCGATGATAGTTTTTTGTGTTTTATCTATGATTACTTGAATTTCAATCATGATTTTATGCTTGTAAAGCTTTGAGCAAAAAATCGAGGAGGCAGCTTCATACAGAACTCAATACGCTCAACGCCTTACAAATTCTTGCATTATATAAAAGCATTTTTTTAAAAGACACATAAATAAAATTATTTAATTTATTGATTAATCAATAAATAAAGAGTTTGGAAAAGTGTTTCTATTTTATTTTTTTTAAAAATTAAGAATTGTGTATACTCGACATGATTTGCGTTAATGAAACATTATTAAAAAAATAATCCAAAAAACAGCTTTATCGACTGCGTAATGGTAGGTAAATGGTAGCTAAATGGTAACTTAATAGAGTTTTGACATTAAGCACTTATAAGATTTGCTTAATGGTAGCTTAATGGTGACTTAATGGTGGTCTGAAATGCTACCATTAAGCATATTTATGCCACAAATAAGCTACTATTAAGCTACATTAAGGCACCAATGAAGGACTTTGAGAAGGCTTAATGGTAACTTAGTGGTGGTATAAATATTACTTAAAGGTACTTAATAGTGACTTAACCATAAACCACAATTAGGAACCTATTAGCCACGATTTAGCCAAGCTTAAAGGAAGTGTTTCATTTTATGTCGTGCGACTGTCTTTGTGTTTGACTTCAGGACAATTGAAATTAAAATGAGAGGCCTCGTGTAATTTAAATCTACTATTGAATACAGTGGAAACTGTCTAATCCGACACCTGTATAATCTGTCACAATGTAAATTCCGACGTTTAATTTCGTTCCCATTTTACAGTTTTCTATGTTTCTTTACACTGTGTAATCCAACACACTGTCTATTCCGACACAAAATTTGTCTCCAAGTGCATGTCGGATGAGACAGGTTTCACTGTATTTTTGAAATCAAAATCTACAATTTTATTTTACAATGAAATGTAAATATAATGAATCACTGTCTAGTTAATATAGTATCCCAGGAACACCAACGATAGTGGCAAATACCGGATAATTTAAACTTCGCACGTATGCATATTATACCATGTTTCCCACTATTGTTGATGCCCTGGCATTATATACTAACTAGACAGTGATTCAAGTTCAAAATCCCGTAAAACATTCAAACAAGGAGCAGAGCAAACACAGACCACAAGAACATCAGAGGTTGAATCAGGTGCCATGAAGGAGTGAGCATCCCCTGCCGATAGACCACACATATAACGACGACACAATTTTAATTAACAAAGGCTTCTTCCATTCTTATGTCGATGCGATATACATGTATCCCGGTGATCTTGAGACAAAAGATACCACAGAGTCTGACACATTGTTTCATAATTGCATATCTAGTTTGAGAAACTTAAATGTAATCTTTGGTCGATACAATGACTTTGTTGGAAAAAACAATTTATCATTGAGTCAAATGCTGACTGAAGTTTTTATTACGTACTATTAGTATATTTTTTACACACTGAACTGATGACGGATTTGTCCCTAATTAAATTGATCATAACAAGTAGGATATTGCGGATGTGACAGACCGACCAACAGGGTGCTTACTCCTCCACCTGTTCTTATCTCAGAATTTGGAAGTCTTTGCTTGCTCGTCTCCTATTTTATGTTGTTTTATGGACTTTTGAGTTCTTATACTGTTCGTATTTTCCATACATTGTATATTTTACGTAAAATTTATAATATATACTTTGTTGTGGTATTTTTAAAATTAAAAATTTTTATTGGAGATTTCAAATATAGTTCACAAGTTATATCTGGGTTTGATTTTTTAAAAAAGATACTTAAGAAATGCCATAACATATGCTCCAGAACACTAATTTATTTTAATTGAGATATAGATCTTTTATAACGACTAGCAACAAGGACACACACATATGCCTTTAAGATGACAGAAGAATTTTCTTTTATCAATATTGTTTTATTTTACAAGTATACAACTTTTTACTATTCCCTTGAAATATTTTCTACTGAATATCTGAGATGTAGAAGGAATTATTTGTGTGCAAATTGGCAAATAAAGCCCACACACAGAAACCAGCAATCTACTTTTTAATGTAATAAGTCTTACCTTTGTATTTTTCGGTAGAGAAAATACATAATACCACCAAGAACCATTGTCAAGCAAACAGCTGCGACACTTCCATAAACGTATTTCCAAAAATCAGTTGAAGACGACTGAGAATCTAGAGATTGTTCATTATTAAAACATGATTAAAACAAAAACTATTTTAAACAAGAGTCCCATGGTACACATTGCTCACCTGAGCACTGTGGCTAGGAAAGACGCAGAATTCAGTTTACTTCTAAAATTTTTAAACCAAAAAGCAGTCCCAACTAATCCTTAGAGTGATTTGGAAAGAAGGTATAATTTGAACTAACTTGAATTTTACACTTACTAAGGATTGTTGCATTTTTTTTAACTGCCTGCGCGGCATTATTATGTTCCCCAAACGAAGTTGGGGAACATATTGTTTTTACTCTGTTTCTTATTATTATTATTAAGGTCTTCCGTTTCCAACGGAAGACCTTCTTGTTATTCTTCGGTTTCTTTTTCCCTATTATTAAGGTCTTCCGTCTTCAACGGAAGACCTTCTTGTTTTCGTTCGGTTTCTTTTTCCCTATTATTAAGGTCTTTCGTCTTAACGGAAGACCTTATAGCAATTCTATTGTTTCTTCTTATTATAATTATTATTATTTTTCTGACGCGATTTCTCAAAGACTACTAGATGGAATTACATGAAATTTTCAGGACAGATGTTTTGTTAAATGAATTTGATACATCTGAGAGATTTTTTGGAAATTCGCTTCCGGTGCCAAGTTACAGACCTTTTTCTGATTTCTTTTGTCCACAGATTTTCTCAAGAACGGTAAAAGATATCAATGTGAAACTTTCAGATATTATAAATGATAAAAAATACTATCCAGGACGCGACTTTTCGTTTGTCGTCTTTACTTCCGCTTGCTACCGGAAGCTAATTTAAAAAGTCTAATTTTTAAAAAAAATTTGTTTTTCAATATTTTTCGTTTATTTTTTTGTATGTTAATAGAAACCTTTCTTATAATGCTTGCTATATAATTTGTTTGAATATTGATAAATCTAAACTCTAGATATTAGCATTTAAAAATTTGAAGCGTTTCAAAATGGCCGCTCTCTCTGTCAACTCCGACATTTCGCAATAGGGGTTTACTGAGGCAGTCGAGCATTTGCTTGAAAGAAAGTAAGAAGGACAAATGAAATATAAAGGAATACTTGGATTTTCACGTTGTAGTTACGTTACAATTCTTTGTCAAACTAAATTCTTCTTAAACGTCTTCTATAATTGGTTTTGGTTGATTCTCAAAGTAAAAAAAGAAAAGACTAAATGTGCAAATGAAATTCGATACCAAATATCTTCTGATTGCACCACGGAAAAGCAGCTCATTAATCATTGTTATAAGTAATAGTTATTCAAGAAGGATATCAATGAATACAGTAAGTATAAAACTTACCCACGGTTTTTACCATGCACATTTGTGCCATATTATACTAATAAAAAAGACAAAATAAGATAACCATATTTTTTTTAAAGATCGCTTAATAGAGTTTATATTAACATTATTGTCTCAAAGATCTTATTCAAGTTATTGAGCACAAACGATATCCAATTCCTTGACTGTCGTAAGGCGAGCCATTTTTTTTTTTGCGAAACATTTCAATCTTTTCATGAATGTTTTTAACTAATCGGGATAGTTCACTTTAGCATCTGTTTGCAACGAATCAAAATTGAAGCAACGATACATTAGTGATAGTTCCGGAATCTGACATGTATCCAGAGTGGGTTTACGTCTCGTAATTAATATTAATAGGAAGAGGGGCTATCGATCGCCGGCATTGTTGACATCTCTATAAATTCTATCCCCCTCCCTCTCTCTTTCAAAAATTTGAATACGTGTTTGGCATATTACAGCGATACCAATATGAATTCTAAAAATAGAAATTAAAAACAAATGTTGATTAAATTTTGTGTGTCCTCAAATTATTTGAGGACACGCAAAATTAAATCAACTACAATGTTTACTGTTTTCACGAGTAGACTCGCAGATGAACATAGAATCTGATAAGTGTAATATGAAAAAGGTTAGTCGCAGTTTGTTTTGAACATGGTTTTGTTGATTTAAGTATGAGCGCACATTTTTCGACTCTTTTCCTATAAAATGACATTAAATTGTTCAATATGCAACTACAGTTTTCTTAAGAACAGCCGACAAACATGCGCTATGTATTCAGACGATGCAAAAAGCGTGATCCTGATTACATTTTGATATTCAAGAAAGTTTCAGGTACTATGCCTTCAATACTCATGTAGTTTACCTTGAAAAGAGCGTTTTAAATTTGCATCTGTACCATGAATACAAGATAAATATATCAAGGGTTTGTATGATGTAAAACACATTTAAGAAAAGTTTAATTTACAGCATTTTTTTCTGGGCAGTTAAGTCCACACTTTTTAAAAAAAGAAAATTCTGCTTCATCTTTGATCGGCCATTGTGGCCCCGTCCTACCCCCAGGGTCATGATTTGAACAAATATGAATCTACACTACCAGAGCATGCTTTCGTGAAAATATAATCAATCATGGCTTTGCTGTTCTTGAAAAGATTTTCTAAGAATTATCCTATATATTTCTGTCTTTGATCGACCATTGTGGCACCATCCTTCCCCGATGACCATGATTTGAACAAACATGAATCTACAAAACCTGAGGATGTTCCAAAAAATTAGTTTCAACTTCTTTAGAACAATTGGTTCTTCAGAAGAAAATTTTTAAAATATGCCACAAAGATTTCTAAATTATATCAGAGGACGTGGGCCTCCACTTGAACAAACTTTACTCAAGTATGCTTTGTGGAATGTTTCGTAAACATTGGCCTAGTGATTTTTGAGAAGAAGTCAAAAATGTTACAAGTTTACTGACAGACAGACGAACTGACAGCTAGCCAGACTGACTATAGACAAAATGTGATCAAAAACGCTCACTTGAGCTTTCAGTTCAGGTGAACTAAAACTAAAACTTAAGAAACAAAACTTACCTTTTTTTACTTTGCATTCTCCGGATGAACCTAGAAATGTCATAAAAAGGCGAATAGAAATTTAAAGTAATACATGTATTTCAAAGTTTTTAAATATTTATAAATTTTTTAACAATATACGTACCAAAGCAATACCTCTCCGGACAGCCTTGAGTGCTGCTTAGATTATACACCAAATACGTTGTGCAGTTCTTCACCTGAATATTGTATTCCTTTGAACAAGTGCAATTATGTCCCTTCCCGGTACTAACACACGCTTTTAAATCGGCAACCTTATCCTCTATGGAGGGTTCCCTGCCTATAGAATTGTTTATAAATTATCATTATCATTCTTATAAATAATTCGCTGAGGAAAAATTGCAAGCTATACATCTATGTTACCATGAAGCCAAATAGGGAATGTTGTGCCGCAGCTATGTTGGTCTACACATGCGTTTGGCATTTTTACATCCCTTCCTTTGTATTGTATCCGGTACCAACTGCTTTTCAGAAACGAATCACACAATTTAAGGCTACTTGATTTGCACGTTTTTGATCTATCTTCACCCACTGTGAGAGTTACACGGTTTTCTGGATTACATGGATCTAAAATTATCAATTTATAGACTGTAGAAGTTTTAGATATTGCATGCCATCAACCAGATAAATTTAAAGTCAAATTCAATATGAATTTCCAATGTGAATATAAAATCATATTTTACATTAAACGGCTCTTTAAATGTTTTATTATGTAGGATAAAATTGACTAGAAGATGTAGGCATGCAAAAAAGAAAAAAAAATCTTAAAACAGATGGATTCAATTTTTTACTTTAAATTTTTTCCATTTAAAACTACGTATGTCTATCAAAATGTTAAGATAATCATCCTTCCATAAGTTTTAAAAAATGTGTTCTGCTTGGTTTGCACAGCAAAATTAAGAAATACAGTCTTTGTTGAAAAAGTTCTTAGAAATTGTGAACTTTATATTTCAGTGAAAAAAACATTGTGTCAATAAAATCATTACATATTTGTATAAATTCGATTCATATACACATTTCTATAAGTTAGAGATTGACAATTAGATAATATGACATGTTTTGAATGACGATTTCCCTTAAAATTTAGTATTTCATAATTGTTCAGAATATCATAAATAAAAAAATTTAAAATAAATTTACCAGGCTTTGGACACTCCAAACCAATTCCTGTAACAAAAAAAAATAATCACCATTTTTGAAAGATATTGATTTTCGACATAATCCAATGCAGCAAGGTAAAAGAGAAATACCAAAGCAATATGCCGAAGAGCATGATGAAGTGTTTTTCAACTTGTAGACATAAAATCCACCACAATTCTTTATCTGTATCGTAATATTTTTCTCACAAAAAGACTCTGATCCCGATAAACAAGCTGTGCGATTTACAATTCCATCGGAGATGGTTGGATGGGTACCTTTTGTAACATAAAAACATAGTTAAGGTATTAAAATGCATTTAAAGTCAGCAAAATATATATTTGTAATATCATTTTTGAATTAGAGAACAACCTTGATGTTTTAGGGAAATAGGGTTGATTGCACCACAGTAAAACATGTCAACGGGACCTTCTACCATTTTTCTATATGATTTGTCATCATTTCCTTTAACGGAATACCATCGAGAATCAATCCTTTTGTCGCACACGCCTGGGGCCTGATACCCACATGATGATCCTCTCCATCCCGCATGATGAAGATTGTGGTGGTTTGACGTAAGACATGGGTCACTTTCACCTATAATGTAAAAGCACATAAATGAATTGCAAATTTTCGTCATTTTTTTTTTTCAAAATAAACAATTCTATTTTTACTTACACATTGTCTTAGATGCGAAAAAAATCAAACCCCAAATTGCATAGATGTGCAATTTTGTTTTCTTCATTGTTTTTTCTTCATGCACCAAATACCTTGAGAAGAACCATTCTGCCGAGTTTTGCTATCACTGTACACGCCCATTTTCCCCAATATGTTATTTGCTAATATTGATTTGTTTCTGCCAATGGCTTAAATCTTAGTTTTATCTGCTTGACAGCGAAAGAATGTTATCATCGAAAAGAAATATTTACTTCCGTGTTAAGAATACATGAAACGATTGATTATTTTTTTTTAATGATGAATGTGAAATGTATTTTTCTTTAATCTCTTGAAGGGCGCTAGCTGAGTGTCAACTTATTGGAAAACGTCATTTTATGTCTAGGTTTATTTTCAATTCTCTAAATGTAAGATAATACTGTTTATTCATTTATTGTCAATCATTTAAAACACCAAACGCTTGGCCAATCATTTTATTTCTCGAGATAATATCTACTCTTAGGAGGATTTTTCACCAATTGATTGACCCTTCTAGTATATATAAATATAAATCCCAAGTAGATCATATATTGTCTACATAAAGAACGATGGTTTTCATCTTATACTTTGTTGTGCTTTTTATCGGTAAGATATCTGTTCTAATGTATTCGAGTAATAATTTCAAAACATTATTTTTTTTAATCTCAGACTTCTGAGCTATTTTTATAAATTCCCCATTACCATTTCCTAATTCCCTTTTATCTAAATATTATTTTGTTTTTAAAAGACTTTGTTTAATTTTTCTAAAGGTAAAACTAGCTAAATAAATTTGTATTCTTGTTTATTTCTATTCATTTTTTTTTTCGGGGGGGGGGGGTGTATTTTCATAAAGACTAATACGACAGCACTGTGTGCCATAATTGATATAAAGATATTTTATAGAACTTAAGCCAATTTTCATTAATATTTTTAATGGCTTAGGTTTATTTCCGACTCGTGTTTGCAACTTTTCTAAGCAATTATATGAATAAAAATCATTTTTAGATGTATACCAATAGTATAAGTTCATAAGGCAGGTGAAATATGGTATTTATATCCGCACTTTCTAAAGAAAGTTGGATATATTGTTGCTACTCATGTTCGTTCATTTGTCTGCCACGCTTTCCTTCCTGAAACACCTCCTACGTTTTACACAGTAGCATAATCATCTTTAGGGTAATGGTTTGTGATGTCACATCGATGTGCTGAATTTTCAATTTTATCTTTTGGGGCAAATGTCAAAAAATTACAATTTCTTGACAAAAAAACCTTAGTTCACTTAACTCCTCAGTCATTTCACACGGTAGCCTAATAATCTTTTTTGGAGACTTTGGTGGTGCGATGTAGATATGCAGTAAGGTTTAATAAATTTTCATCCTGAGGGTCTCATAAGGGTTGAAAAAAATGAGGTTTTCTTAAAAAAAGCCTTTGATTCCCTTAACTCCTATATTTTACAAAGTAGCTGAACTACACTTTGGGATATGGTTGGTTTTGTCATGTTCATTTTCATCCTGGGGTTCAAATGGGGGTAATTTTGTTTCGAAATATTTATCATGTTTAAGTTCCCTAAACTTCTTCTACAGGCCCGGATCCGGAGGGGGTCCACCCCAGTCAAGAAAGAACATCCAGAAAATTTCTTGACGGGCAAAAAAAAAAACAAGCAAAAAAACTCGCCCAAATGTCAAAAACCTATTTCGGGGAGGGGGGGGGGTCAATGACTTCTAATACTTCAAACCTTTTACTTTTAATACCAATTTAACACAAGTTCGCGTTTACCAGGTGGGTCCAAGTTAACTTTCTCCTGCATTTGTATATACATTTTATAACAAATTCCAAATTCCAGGGGGTGTGTGGCCATGAACCCCCCCCCCCCCGCCCTCTAGATCTGCGCATGTCCTACATTTAACACAGTAGCCTAATCATCTTTTGGGAGATGGTTGGTGGGGTCCTCACTGTCCTGTATATGTGATTAAGGTTTTGGAATTTTTATTTTCACCATGGGGGTCAAATGGGAGACTTTTTAAAAATATTTAACACGTTAAACACCCTAGTTCCTAGAACTTCCCTCATATTTTAAGCATTAGCCTTACGTCATGATAATTTGGAAGATGATTGGCATTTTCATGTTGATGTAGGTGTTTGAATTAATTACAAAACAAGCATTTTCAAATAAATGGCAAATAGGGGCTTGAAAAAGTGCCCCCTAACCCACGGGGCATGATTAAATATCTATTTGTTTTTCTTTAAAGTAAGAAAAATACAAGTAAACAAGAGGCTTACGGCCTTATAGGTCAACTGGTATCCCGTAATTATGTTCCCCAAACGAAGTTGGGGAACATATTGTTTTTACTCTGTTTCTTATTATTATTATTCTTCTTCTTCTTCCTGGGTACTTTTTTGTCCGGGAGTGATCTTGTAAACTGTTCATCCGACGTAGGTAAAACCTTTTTAGGGTCAGTAGACATGTTATGTAGATTTGTGGAATCAAGGTCATTTTGCGCGCACGTGCTTGCAAGAGCGTGCGCGTGCAACACGTGAAATGACCGATACATTTGATATAGCCGTAACTTTTTTATTTTTTGATGAAATGCTTTGAAACTCATAATTTGATTATTTATTAGTAGTATAGACATGATGACATGGTCAAAATAGTAAGATTTCACGCGCATGCACGTGCGCTTTGCTCTGATTGGCTGAAACTAAAGTCTCTATATCTTTCTTGTTTTTCGACGAAATCCTATGAAATTTTGAACATAGCCATGCATTAATTCATCCTACAACATTGTATATAGCATTTGTCATAAAATCACGTGCATGCACGTGCGCTGCAATCTGATTGGCTTAAACTTTAAATAGCTATAACTCCCTTGGTTTTTAACCAAACAGGATGGGATTTGGAACATAGATAGATATAATGAACTTCTACAACATGATATGGTCACCATGCACATGCATACACGTGCGTTTACTTGCGCTGTAATCTGATTTGCTGAAACTTTAAACAGCTATAACTGCTTTGGTTTTCAACCAAACGGAGTGGGATTTAGAACATAGAGAGATGTAATGGACGTCTACAAGAAGATATGGACACCATGCCCATGTATGCACGTGCGTGCACGTGAAATGAGTTAAATCAAAAATACACTTGAATGAGCGTATTTTTAAATACTTTTGGATTAAATACTTTAATATTTAGTATATTAAAATGTATAGATTGTGTAGACAAGATGATATGGTCATTACGCACATGCATTCACATGCGCACGCGTGCAATTCTAAAATTTGAATGAACTTGGCGTTGTTAAAGTCTCAAATGCATAAATTTTGTCCTATTTAATGAAGCTTACAGGGAATATGGCACCAAAAGGGAGTTGGGGAGCGTTTGGGGAACATCTGTAACGGTCCCCGTTACAATTAGCACTAGTTGAATTTGATTCGTGTTTTTACCTGAGACCATGAAATTCACAATTTTGAAAGAGACACCACTGCTTATCAAACTATACACTTAGCATGCTTACTTTGGTTACTTTATACCCAGAGGTAGCAAAGAAAAAATGCAGCAATTCTCTGGGACATGTTTCAAAATTTTGGAAATTTAATCATGAATTTTATTTCATCATAACTTGTTGATTCATATCAATGTACAGATTTCAAAGCATTAATTTATATTTAGACTCCAAATACCTCTGACCCAAGGGCCCAGAAATTAACCATAATTTTGGAAGAGGCAGCTTTCTTCAGCATAAATATGTACTTAGACCATTAACATAATCCCCAGGAGCAAGCCCTGACCTAGGGGTCTTGAAATTTGCAAATCTCAAAAAGGCATCCTTCCTCCTCATAACTATATACATAATTCATTCATTTGTAGAATAGTCAGATGCAAAAGAAAGAATAAAAATCTGCAGTGTAAGGATATATGAATTTTCAAAATGTAAAATTCTCAATGCAGAATATAAAAACAATGACAAATATATCAGATAAAATTCGAATGAAGTGTAGAAACAGCTAACTCTTCTGGATTAAAGTCATAATGTTAGCATTCTATTTAATTTTTATTGGTGCATTATACTCAGTGCGATATTCACATATGATTTCTATTTTTTAAACGACATTAAAAGAAAATTAGAAAAATTGGACATCCGCAATTTGGAATCGCTAATTTGATCTTTTTAAATAATGCCAATTTCAAGAAAGGCCAACTATTCCTTAGGAATCGGCATACTCGAAACAGGTTGAAAAATTATGCTGGATCAAACAATATTTATATGCCATTAGAAGTATTTTTTCTATACATCAGACTTGACTATCACAGTAAATTGCTCAACGAAGGTTAAAACCTCTCCTTAGCTTGCTTTTTCTGTGCAATACAACAAACGTCATTTATGACGATCTACCTGAATATTTTTTCACTAAAACAACATATCCAATATATGATTGAAGATTTTGCAAGGTTTTTGTCTTTATAAGCCTTTTACAAATTATAATTACTCTAGAATTTTTAAGATACTGTAAAATCCCATATTTTCGTGGTGTCAAATTTTCGTGGTTTGAGAAAAAAATATTTTATTCGTGGAAATTTTATTTCGTGGATGTATAATTGTTTCGTAGTTATATATGTAACATTTTAAATTTTGTGGCCGACATGAATTCGTTGGTCTCTTTACACCTCGAAAACAACGACAATTAAACCCCCACGAAAATTTGTGATTTGTGATTTCACAGTATTCGAAATAGGAGCAGAGAAAACACGGACCTCCAAATCATCAGAGGTTTGATCATGTGCCAAATGAGACAAATTGTTAAAAACCGAATGTCTAATGGTAAAAATGATTTTTATAAGTGGTTAAAGGACTATACTTTGTGAATTGTATATTGATAGGACTTTTAAAAAATATCTTGATGCTTTGTTTTTGCCGTTACATTGCCGTAACGTGTGCTCCGTGCACACAAAGCAGGTAAATTATAAAATGAAGTAGGTTGATTTCTGTAAAATCAAATGGAATGAAACTTCACACTTCAACAAAACAAATATGTAAACACATTAAATTATGCTTATCTTAAAATTCTTAGAAGTATTATAACATTGACATCGTTCTCAAGCTTTTCAAATAACCCTCGTATTTATGTTCAATATCAATGCCTTTATTACAACATGCTTTCCTTTTGATAGGGTACTTTCCATGATAATGTTTTCCTTACGATATCCTACCATCTCATATATGTATCATCGAATGAAACAAGTTTTGATCAAAGAGTGCTGATCATATTATTTCAATGATGTTCTTAGTATTCTATGCAGTAGTTATGTGTAATATGCAATGCTATGTGAAGTAGATTTTTATATTTTTGTATTTCTTAAAAATGTACTTTTGTACGAAATGTAAGGAATGAAGTCTTTGTAGTACCAATTAAAGCATCTTTTTAATCATATTCTTTGTGAAATTGTTCTGCAATTAGTTTTAAGGTTACGTGAGTAATTTGGTAGTAATTACATATCAATTTACCGTACAATGGAATCGTATGACTTAATTATCAATGAAAAATTCAACTGCAAATGGAGACATTATACATCATATACTTTATTTTAGTTTTACCAATTTGATTGTTACATAAGTTAATATGCCGGCATTATTCAATCGGAATCGAGATTCGCAAGTAAGGAACAACGAACAACGAACGAAATAATACTAGGTATGATATCACTTGCCCTGGAGTACAACAATGAATAAAAAAGTGAGAAGAAACTTTGATGAGCTAACTCCATTCGTCAAATTCGTCAATGTTTCCTCCTCGTCTAACTTTCCAATTTTACAGATTGTGTGCATAAAAGTAGAAAAATTAAAAGAGTTAACAGTGCATTGTTTGCTTTTTTTTATATTTTATTCAAGCAATCTATTAAAGTAATTCCCATTTAATTTTTTTATGAGGAATGATTTTAACAGAAAAGCACAACGAATTATTAGTTTCATAGACATGGAAGAGGTTTAGGGTTAAGGTTTAGACACGAATTTTTCAGTTCAAGGTCCTTCTTACCCTTATTTATTTGTCATTTCTTTAAATGCCTGAAAATTTGAAATTGTTTAAAACACATTCAACATTAAAATGAATCGTTTAAGAGCAATATTTGCATTTTAGGATCAGGTTCTACCCAACAAATAAAAGATCCTTGTGAAACAAAGAAAAGTATCCATGAATCAGATATAAGACTTGCTGTTTACAAGTATGATCCTAACATTGAAAAGCCACTTTGTGATAAATATGGTATTGCACGTGGAGGAGAATGGTTTCGAATAGAAAAGGGACGAGAAATGGTCACGAATGAAACTGAAATGTTTACCTGTGGAACGGACACTGGGTTATGGATGAAAGGTATTATTTAAAAATATTTACATTGGGGATATATGAAATATAAAATGAACTTAAGATGTAGAGAACATACGTTCTATGTGGACTACTAGTTTTTCAATTAAAAAAAAATCAATCAACAATTTATATTCGGGTTTCAAAGGATTCGATCAAATGACCAACCAAGTTAATTTCTTTGTGAAACGTTTAAAATCGTTTTTCTTAAGTATTTTTATCGTCGAGGTTGAAAATTTTAATAATATTTATGCATATTAAACATATGGAGATAAAAAACTGTATTCAAGATCAAAATTCAAAGCAAAGTAGGAGCAGAGCAAACAGGACCTCCAAAACATCAGAAGTGGGATCAGGTGCCACGGAGGAGTTAGCATCCCCCGTTTACACCTGTGTCATGATGGGGAACTCAGTGGAAACTCTGTCGTCAATTTAGTGTATGAATAATAGACTAACTATTAGTATGAAAAACTTCAATAGTTTTGCACATTTTGATGACTACTTAAAGGATCTTTAAAATATTCAAAATCGACCTTTGATTTTGAAGAATTTATTTCTTAGGTAGGGAACTATGAGTATAAGTTGGATAGCTACCTGTAGAATTAAATCCAAGTTCTTCTAATATACCAGCTTAATAATGAGCCTTACAAACGAATAGAATGAAGTTACTTGCTTTGTTGGCAGGGACCAGTACGTACTGATCGTGTTATCTGCCTAATTCTTTTTTTCACTTCTGGATTGTTGAATACAGAAGGATAGATGGTTTGCATATTGCCACTAAATCTTTGAATATGCACTTGTAATACAGATCTAATACATGAAGGATATGGAGATAACGAAGTATTCAATCTCAAAGTCCATAAAACAATACAAAATAAGAGCAGAGCAAACACGGACCCCCGAAACATCAGAGGTGGGATCAGATGCCATGGAGGAGTGAGCATCCCCTGCCGACCGGTCACACCGGCCTTGTGCTCATTGTTTCGATCAGGAAATAACGAAAAAAAATCCGTCTTCAATTCAGTGTATAAATAATAGACTAACAATTGGTAGGAAAAAAGTCAGTCCGCATTTGACTGATTGTATTTGCAGACAAGGTCATTGTATCGACGACCGTAGAACTTACGAAATGATGTTTTCGGATATTTTTTTCCATCATGACAGGGATTGCATGACGAGTTGGGGGGATCGGTATGTGATGCCCCTCCAACTCATGTCTCTAAATGTTTCAGATGTCCGTGTTTCTTTAGCTCCTCAATAGTAAATATTTAGCATGAACACTTTTCGGTATCATAATATACTTCACATTATAAAAGTTTAACATTCAAACGTCACAAATATTGGCGATTGTCATTACCTTTTTATCACATAGGGGACGTTCCGAAATTCGGTGATGGAGAGGTAGCAAGAAAGGCATGTGTTCCAGGAAATGTGGATGCTTGTGAGAAAACATACAATATAAAAGTTAAAAATTGCAAGAGCCATTTTGTCTACTTTCTTGTTCCACCAACAAATTGCCCAGAGGCATATTGCTTTGGTAAGATGAAATATTTTGACATGTCTTTAAGAAATGATAAGAAAAAATTCTAATTCAATTAGAAAAGTCAAAATTATTTGCATTTTCACTAATTTAACGTGTTATACCTTTTATAATACAGGTTATGGTGTTCCAGGTATGTTTTATAAAGTTTTATGATAAATGTTCATAAGCAATGCATTTTGCACAAAACTCTTGTCTTAAATATTCTCTCTCTATCTCCCTTTCTATCTTTCATTCTCTTTCTCAGAGTGTATTATTGCTACTAATTGAAGGTACTATAACAAAGGAAAAAACGGAAAAACCGAGGGTGGAACACGATCTTCAGAAAATTATTGGACGTAGAGGTGCTTACCAGGAACTGAGATTTAAATGTTCATTCACGCCAAAACGCAATAGCGTGCTATTGTACAAGATCTTTTGGTACATAAACAATTCTACAAACCCATTTAGTACAAGTAAAATTGTGAGGAAAGAAGATTTAAACCTCGCTTATTTGACAGTGGAAAATGGCTTGAATACAATTACTCTTGGCATTCAGGTAACATTTCCTTGCATTAAAGAGTTACTCTAAATACGCTTTAAAGCAAAATATATTCTGTTTAGAATTAAAAAAAAAAATAAAAGAATAAACAATATCTTATCATTTGATTTAATACACAGTAAATTTTGTTTCTAGTAAAAACACGATAAAGATAGCATAATATGCTTATTTAAAATAGGGGATATTAGATTTATCTCTCTCTCTCTCTTTCTCTCTCATTGAACTCTGGTTGTGAGGCCGTTACTGATTTTATTATACCTCCTTATTATTATTGTATACAACGCTTTATCTGATTGGTTCTAGAATATCACGTTACCGAACCATAAAACTTTATATTTCATGGTCATTGACACGGTTTTCGTCATATTCCACCTCTTCGGAAAGAAGCGCAATTTCCCACAAATATTGTCGTTAGTTGAACTTTACTCCTGAGAGTAGTTGACGCCAAAATAATCTGGTTTAAGTCACAAAATTGCTGATTATTTCATCATAGTATGATGTATCAAAGGGATTCAGTAACTTTACGTTAAAAATGAAGGTGGATTGAGAGCGGTGTCGAATTTGAATTTTTTTTGTTTATTTAAAATTCTTTGCTTTTTTCGGTAATATAAACAATTCATTTCATGATAGTGAGAGAAATATCAAGATTTTTTCAGCCAAGAAATATCATCTTCTCCTCGGAAGAAGCCCTTGATAAATATGATTTGCCTTGGCTAAAAAAATCTTCATATTTCCTTCTCCATTATGCAATAAATATATAATATTAAATACTAAATATAGTATTTATTGAATGGCTTGTGTCACAATAATTTACATAAAAACTATTAATTTGCGTGACATTTACATCTAAATTTCGTAAATTTGAAGTCATTTTAGGGAAGGAAATCATCTTATTTTCTTACATTTAATGACTGAAATCGTTTGCTATGTAGTTAATACTAACCAAATTTAGCGTCAAAATATGGATCGAAAAATTATACACTATTATGTAAAATTTTTTACGCCCATTTTTAAATCCCAACGACTCTTAATCTAATATAAATGTACTAAGTGAATAAATATACGTATAAAAAGCAGAAGAAAATTCATTTTAACAATGATAGGTACATCTGCCCCAGCCCGGGATTTAACTCTCCACCTACGGAATTTGTCTCCTAGCCCTTTGAAAACAGCAAACTAGATCACTTGGCCATGTAGACAAGTCAAAACTTTTTTTTCGATGCCGATAGAATTCGCACCCTACACAATTTACTGATTGAGAATGAAAGTGCCATCACTTCATTTATTATATGCGTGACCTAAACGTAAAAAAAATATTTTGACTCTAATTAAAAGTTGCTTTCATTTGCATGGGGGGGTTAAATACTAGTATATTGAATACATGTGGTTCCATCTTATGTACAAAATCATGGCCAATAACTGTAAACTTAAACTTAAGCTTTCAATGTATCAGAAATTTAACATCAATTCATTTTTTGCAATTTATCCTTTCATTTCAAAGGAAGAAAGTTTCATTTTACTTACCAAGAAACGTTATCTGCAATAGAAGTTGATATGATATATGATAATCTCACTGCTATCGTTGTAATTCAAATTTAAAAAATTCTCATTTTTTAATATTACAGTTAGCTTGTCGTGTGAGGCTGTATTTGAATCCTAATGGCGCACCAGGTCCATTTTCTCCAATGAGTGACTATTTCTTCGCCGGTTTACAGGTTACAATTTTCTTTAAGAAATAAATAAACAAACACTTTGGTAAAACCCATTCCTTAAATATCTGGCTTATTACTTTTTAGCTCATCTGAACTAAAAGGCCCAAGGACAGAAAATCGATCCCTTGATTAGATTATATTCCGACAACGTTCTACATTCCCGTTTTCCCGTTTGCTCACCGTTTGTTGAGCGTGCGTTGACCGTTCATTCAGCGTGCGTTCACCGTTCCCTCTCCATTTACATATTTGTGTTCAGGGTTCATCGTGCGCTCGCATGGAAAATAGAAATAATATGCATTTATAATAAATTATTGTAATAAAAATTTAAGATACTAGCGTACTTATGCAAAACATCCACTGACCTGTTCAATTAATATTTTCTTCATTAATTTACCCGAAATGTTTTTCATATCAAATAAAAATAACAATATTAATTTTCGAACTGAAATATATTTTATACTTTAGAATTCGGAAACAATTGCAATCTATCCCAGCGATATAAAAACTGTGTTTATAAAAAGTTAATGATGTGCCTGCATCGAATTTCTAGGACAATTGTCTAGAATTTATTTTAATGATATATTGGTATATTATTGATTACTTATTCGTTCATTTAATTTTTATTTGTTAATTTTTTGACACCTGACATTAGAATACAATAAAACAGTTCCAATACAAAAAAAAATCAGAGGTATTCCAAATAAATTGTTCATCTAGCGTTCACTGTTCGTTCAACGTTTACTTTTTTTTCGCGTTGCGCTCCGTTCGCGTTCTGCATTCTGCATTTAACAACTCGTTTTTCACATATCGTTCACCAAGTTTCGTTCAGAGAACATACATCGTTCACTCACCTTTCGCTTTGCATTCGTTCAGTGTTTGTTCACCGTTCGTTCAATTGGGAAAGTAGAACGTTCCAGGAGCTGTAATAATTACATAAATTTCAAAAACAATAAGGCCAGATGATACGTCCTCGATATATCTAAATATCGAGTTGAAGGTAAAAGCAAGTGTTTTCTTCTATTCACGTAAATCAATACATGTACGAATAGGTCTACTAAAAACGGGACGTTTTTTCATACTTCTCGGTAGTCTATTATTTATACACGGAATCGACGACGGATTTTTCCTTTATTTGCCGATCATTAAAAGGAGCACACGGATGTGAACGGTTAACAGGAAATGCTCACTCCTCCATGGCACCTGATCCAACCCCTGACGTTTGGGGGGTCCATGTTTGCTCTGCTCCTGTGTTGTATTGTTTAATGGACTTTGATATATAGTAAATGCTGTTTGTATATCCATGTAAAATCCACCTGTGACATCGCTCCTCTGTTTAAGCATTCCAATATTTTTCAGGAATAGTGAGTTGCATAATTGAAAACAGAATTTTTTATGTTCGAAATCTCCTTCCCGTGCCTCTACCAAGGAAAATACTTGGAAATTTTATCAAGTTCATACCCGGTACCTTAACCTTTGAAGTTGGGTACTCATTTTACTTTGCTATCGAAGCTATTGGTTTGAAAAAGCTTATATATATATATATATATATATATATATATATATATATATATATATATATATATATATATATATATATATATATATATATATATATGATTATTCAAATATTAACAAACAATAAATACAACCATTTCGAAAGGTGGATTTTACGCGGGGTAATTATACTCGTAGCGCTCCATTCCTTAAAAGTAATTGGTCTCGGCGCCTTCGGTGCCTCGGCTCTATTACTTTTGAAGAATGGAGCGCTACTCGTACATTACCCCTTACACCCTTCTACTAATATATTGATGTAAGACCTTATCTCCGGAAACTACCAGATTTTGTCAATCAGCTAGAAACTCAAGCATGTTTTTGATGTCAATTTCAAAGTACTTGTGTTTGCAAATAGAATCTTTTTAAGAAAATAATTTTGCATATGGCAAATGACAAGGTAGGTAAATCAAAAAGTTATATTTATATTGAAAATGCAGCTATCAATAATATAAAAAAAAAGCCTGGTCATTAATGCATCATGGTAAAGAGTTATCTATAAAGTTGAAAATTCGCACTTTTTTAAGTTCTTGATTTTTGGTAAAATCTTGTGATTTCAAACTTTCCAAAAGTTCTTTGGAATTTTGAAATATCCAAATCTGAAAAACACCACTTCTAGAATAAATTATTGCACAGAACTCTTAAAGTTTCTCCTCCACTAGTCATGATATCTTAGCGAGGAGTAAAGAATGAGGCTTGGTTGAACATTTTTAAAATAAAAGCAGAACAAACATAGACCTTCAAAATATCAGAGGTAGGATCAGGTACCATGGAATAGTGAACATCCCCTGCCGACCAGTCACATCCACTGCGTGCGCATTGTCATGATCAAAAAATATCGAGAATATATGTTGTCAATTCAGTATGTATATAATGGACTAAAAATTAGTTTGAAAAAAAGTCTGTCAACATTTAACTATATGAAAGTTGTTTTTGCTGATAACGTTATGCAAAACCAACATAAGCTAAATTAGTCAATCAGGGCATAAATGTGGAAAAAGACAGACATTTTTCCTCTCACTCATAAACGCAAGAACTACGAAAGATAGTATTGTTCCTCCGCCTACCTCCAGGTCAATTTTCAAAAAATAATATATTGGAATAGTTTCCCATATTTCTATTCATATTGATATGAATTTCCATAAAACATTACTTATTTGGGAAAACAAAGGGAGATAACCCTGTAATTTTGGTAAATCTCGCGTTTTTCAAAATAGAAATCAACGGAAAACGAAAAATATTTTTAAAAACATCTCCCCCCCCCCCGTGAAACAAAAAATCATTTTACAAATTTTATGGTATTTAACAAATTCATACCAAAGCTTTTTGTGTTTCACGGGGGGGGGGGGTGACATATGTTTCCTGACCAAAAAATGACAAAAGTTTTAATTTTTCACCAATTTCAAAGAAGTTTACGACTAAAATATAGTATTTTATGAATGATATAATTTATGTTTAATTTCATATGCTTATAACATTAGAAAAGTGGTAAGGAACATTTATTCACATTCAAAAATATCTTAAGATACGGTGATGATGTAAAGCCCGGTTTCAACGAACTGAATTAAATAGGTGTTAATGTAGGCGGGAATCAAAAGTTAGCATACGTTGTTCTTTTACCAATGTTTTTTAAGTACTTATTTTGAATTATTTCTTGTTGAGATTGGGCTAAATTTGGGACTAAAATACCAAATGCATGAATGAAGTGGATTTGGTTTGGTTAAGAGCAATAATATAAGTCCTATTCATTTGACAATTGTCTACTTATTATATTACAGGCTGAACAAACGTCTTATTATGTTAGTCACGATAATACGACTGACATAAAATTTCGACTGACAGTTCCTTTTGGATGCCCATTCATAAAGACACAAGACTTAAATCCAAGTAACTGTACAATGGAAATAATCATGGATGTACCCCCAGTATCGAAGTGTACTGGTCAAGCAATAGCGGGTTTGTTAAAGTGCGGTAAAACCGTATATAGTTATAACTGGAACTCTAGTCAAACACTCACCGTTAGACACCATGGAAGTACAGATTACAATCTTATTAAGGACTTTCAGATTCATCTCAAAGCTCAACAGCCAGGAGGAAGCGGAAAATACTGGCAAAACACTCGATTAACAGGACTTCATGTAAATGTTGAATCCTCATTAAATATCTCAGGGTCTAAGTAATGCAATCTTACAGGTCTAAGTAATGCAATCCTACAGGTATGAAAAAAAATCAAATAATAATTTATACAATAATTATTTTTATTCAGATTCATGTTCTAGATTCCCCAAACCAACAATGGAAAGGCTCTGCATGTTATGCTGTCAGTGACCCACACATGAAGGCATTTGATCGCTCAATGTAAGTTTCTCTCACTAAAGATTAAGATGACGTCTCTCTCTTTATGTCTATGATTGATGGGAAAGTGTGTGTGTGTGTGTGTGTGTGTGTGTGTGTGTGTGTGTGTGTGTGTGTGTGTGTGTGTGTGTGTGAGGGTGTGTGTGAGGGTGTGTGTGTGGGTGTGTGTGAGAGAGAGAGAGAGAGAGGGTGTGTGCGCGTGTGTGTGTGAGAGGGTGTGTGTGTGTGAGTGTGTTGCGTATGTTAATGTATGAAAGGATATCAAAAGTATTTTATTGTTTTTCCTTCCATTAAAGTGAAAAATTAATTCTTTTATATATTGGATTTCATTTTTTTATTTACATTTTACTTACATCAGGACATTTGAAAATCAAAATTCGGGAACCTTTACATTGTATCAGTATAAGGACGACTATGGAAATACAATGGAGGTAATCGACTAAAGTCGGAATAATAACAAACCAAGATTAATTGTATATCAGTATTAGAAATAAAATGAACTATAATTGTGCCTACGGGCATATGATAAAAATGACCATTTTTCTAAAAGGAAATATAAAGGCGTACAAAGCTTTTTCTAACCTGCTTTTTAGCGTAGCTTTTAAAATCAACAATCCCCTTTTCGTTTATTCACAACTTACAAAACCCTGTTTCAGCACACTTGTGGTGTTTCTGTATTTCATTAATTTAATTGTTATTTTCTTGCTCTTGTAATATTTGTTGTTGATTCCGACCAAAAGGGTTGGTGATCGTACCAAAACTGTCTACTACTTTTTTGTGATGAAAGCCCCCACAATGAGTAAGTCCTTTTGGATTGTATCTTTTAAAGTGATACAACTGGTACTTTTCTTTTTTACAACAAGATACCGTATAGATGAAAATTTTAGCAAGACGCAAATTTAGCGATTTCTCCTTAAAAATGGGTTTTTTATTCTTAGCAAGAAGTAATTTTAGCGATTTTAAAATGCTCCTTTAAGAAGGTTGTACAAAGAACACGCAATGTATTTTTAGCGATATTCAATTTTAGCGATCTCAACAGCCTCGCTAATAATGCCAAAATTAAATCCTCGCTAAAATTTCTTCTTATACGGTAATTGATTCTGTTAGTGTAATGTAGAAGTTATAAAAACAATCTTTTATTGGTTTGCTAGTTTTCTGTAGCCAAGCATTTCATTCGTAAATCTTAAAAACTATAGTTACATGTGTTATCATCCTATTGTGCACTGATATTGAAGGTGTCAAAATGTATTGCAATTTTTTTTATAGCAAATGTCAGAAAATTAATCTCTGATCAAATGCCTTACAGCAAATGCCTTAATTTTATTTATGCATCTTCACTCTAACGTTGATAATTCCAACATTAAAGATGGTTTTCGAACATTAAAGTCAGTTTTTCGTACGTCAAAGGTCGCCCGCGTGGCGCAGTGGCTAGAGAAGCGAAGTAAAGGAGTCAATCCTTACGTCCCGGGTTCTTATCCCACTGTGATACGTGGAAACCGGTCCTTCGGATGAGACAGTATAAACCGAAGTCCCGTGTCGCATTAGGTGCTGGCACGAAAAAGATCCCTCCATGCTCAATGGCCCTAAGTGCCAAGTATAGGACAAATATTGAAGCTCTCCACCAGCAAGTGGTGGCGTCTCCATATGAGTGAAAAATTCTCGAGAGGGACGTTAAACAACATAGAATTAATCAATCATACGTCAAAGTTTCATTTTATTATCATACCTACAACAGCAGAAAACTATATTTCATGCAAATAAGAAAATGTATGCAGTTTTCTCAAAGATATAAGTTGTACGAGGGTTCTACGATATGTCCTGTGTAAAATACGAAATATCTAACTTCTTTGCGTCAGGACACACTGATTGGAGTCGATTGGCTGATGGCTGATTTTTTAAGTTCTTGAAAAGAGTAAAAGTAGCAAAAAGCTAGTTCTAGAAAGTATGATTGGTTTAGCAAGAGGGCAACCTTCTTAAAAAAATTGCTTCACAAACTCAGATGTATGCGGTGGAGCATTTTCACAAAATATGCCTATATCTTTAGACAAAGCGTCGTTTATGATAATATTACTGGAACATTTCAAATATATCATCTAGATAATACCGACCTTTAACGCTGTTGTTCTTAGGAATCGAAAATTTTACGGCGTTATCATAATATGAGAAGAATATGCAATCAAGAACCTTCTTTCTTTTGGCAAGTACAAGTATTTTATAAAGTTTTGTTACTTATATACTTAAGGTTTTCAATGTATAATGAAGGGATTTGAAACAATTGTAAATAAATTTTAACAGTGCATTGCTATATAACTATTAAAGTGAAATAAACCAAATTCACAGGACTGATAACATGTAAGGAGACAATAGTTTTGCATGTTTTAATTAAGAAAAATTATCAACCCTTGACGAAAAGAAGAAAAAAATTTTTCTAAAACTTTCTGCGGTAAATAATCAAATTTATTCCATAATATTATAAAGATGATGCTCTGTTTATTTGACCAAAAGATTTGTTTGAAATTCAAAATACCTTTTTTTGCAATATCTTCTAAGAACATGTGCTGTTTATAGACGTCAATGTAAAATTCAAGGTGTAATTAACTGAACAATAATCAATTCTTTGTGAATTTTTTTGGTGGAGATTTTAATTTGAAAACATCTTCAAAATGTTTCCATGATTAAAAAATATCGGTCATTTGATTTATTAATTACATTAAAGATTTTTCCAACTGGTTAGAAATATCTAACTCGTGTTTCGTCACTAATAATAATGTTTGCATATTGTTTTTGATTGAATTTAGGAAACATCTTGAGCAGTTGCTAAGCAGTTTGCATACGTAAACGCTTCGGCTCATCTGTCACTATATGCGGTATCCATCTGACAGACAGCTTTTGTAAAATTCAAAATACGCATCAAAATGAGATGTGCCTGCAAAAGCGATATGCTTCAACGCTAAGAAACATCATGAATCGTGTACATGCATCTGTTTTCTCTGACTTTTACGACATTTTCTTTTCGATAGGGGTGATCAAAAAGTTCGCAAAATAATTGAATAACTTCCATACAAGAAACAATATTTGGTTTTAATGTTGATTATATTCTAAATTGATCCTCCCCGATTTTAATGCACGTCAACCACCGTTCTGCGCATGCGCGAATCACTTGATATTGGCGGTCACATGACCCCCTCCTTAGCGTTCTGTCACAAAAGTTGAAAGATTTTTATGAGTAGTATATTTCTTTCCATGTGAGTTAATTTTTATGACAAGAACAGTTCATTTGTCAGAAATGGTCATATCTCGGCAACAAAATGGGTGGATAATAATATCCTTTCCAAAAATAAGCACGGCGACCATTAAAACACAAATCCTCTGTCTCAGGAGAGACCTTTATTCAAGGTGGATAGAGAATGGGTGCATCCTTTTTATCATATCTAATATGTTTAAAATCTAAACTAAACGATATCTTAGGTATCTAATACTAATATCATTGTTCAAATATTTAACTATTTTTCAAAGTGCTAATTGGAGGTTTTTGATAGCAAATTGCTTAATTAAAAATACATATCTTTTCAAACTTGCTTTCACTGGGTAAGATGACAAGTATCATTTTTAACCATCAGCCTTCCTTCACTAAAACGATTAATCCAATCATTAATTGAATTTATAGGAACTCATTTATCCTAATAAACTGTGTACAAATTATTATATGATACTGTAGAGGGATTTCTAAGATGTACAATAAATTGTACAGTCGTTTGTTGAACGAGTTCGACAGAGACAACCATTTTTCGTCACAAGTGACCTTAATAGTGACGTCATTTTCACATTGTGACGTCACAAACGAGAAGAAAAACTTTATTCAGCATATGCTATTCATAGAACTTTTGTATGACTATGTGTGTACCGAAGTTCATTCTAATCTGAATAGTGGTTTTGTAGATATAGAGATAGTTTGTGAACTTTTTGATCACCCCTCGTAGTCATAGGTCAACTTGACTAAGCTGCATCTTTGACAGACTCTGTACCATTCAAACATTTCTATCTCCTCCTCTGAACTGTCTCATGAGTAACCTAATCAGACCCAAAAACTTTAACCAATTCAAACTCTGCATTACCAAATGACCGAATTTTTTGCAAATTATTTTATCCTGTTGACCGGTCACACTTACCGTAAACCCAACGCAATTATCAGGTAAACAGAACTATACGTTGTTAATTTAGTTTGAAGACAAAGGCCTAACAATTTAACCGCGAAAAGGCCCAATGGTTGCAGCTAGGTTAAGACACCCATAGATGAAATAAAACGGATTTTAATAAGATATGACCGTTTTTTGATTCACTTCCTTCCAGCTTAGCGCCAGCTACACCCCTCCCCAAAACACACACAGCTACGCACCCGTTTTGAAAAAATCATTTTTAGAAGTAGTGTGACGCTTTGCTCTGTGAATGGTTAATTTATGAAACTTTGACGAACAATGCTAACTCATTTTAACTTTTTGAATCATTGTGCCCTTCACTTTTTGATTCTTACACACATTAAAATACATTTGATTTTCTTGAATATGAATTTTCAGTATTTACAAAAAATAACAACAAACGAATATAATACTTTCAGATTCAAAGTAAAGTAACGTCGTGTAATGGTTCACCAGATATATATTGCACATGCGGGATTGCAATTCGATCGGCCGCCGACGTATTTATGATTGACAGATGTCCAGATAGGAAACCTTGGTATTTTGGATTTCCAAGCTGTGTGGAGAATACGTTGAAAGTTACAAAGAGAAAAGGAAACGAATGGACGTATTGGGTACATCGATTTTTTTTACGTAAATCTATTAAGTTCAGTTTAATTACAGTAACATTTATTATCCAGCTGCAAACCAAAATTTTATCAAATATTAAAATTAATTCAATCAATGAAAATATAAAAATCAAATGAATATACTTATAGTTATTAGAAAGTTTTCGAATTTGGCAAGAGTTATTTCCCGTTGGTTGCCATATTGGAGGTATACAGGCCCTAATTCCTTAATTTTTAACAAATTTAAACTTGTAATATCGGACAATTGGGTTAAGATACATGTAACAAAGTTTTCCTTACAAATTTATATTTGTCCAAGCTATCTTGCTAGCTGGACCTCCAATAAGGCTCCAACGGGAAATAACTCCTGCGAAATTCAGGCCTGCCGAAAACTATCTATACCTGGCTATGTGTTTCTGTCAGTTTGTCAGTATAATAGCACCTATATAATATTTTGTGAATGAAAGAAAAAAGATTTAACATGATATTAAAACTGACAACATCTTTCCAAATGCTTTATAATACTCATGACCGCAACTTTGAACATTGTTCAACTTTCATTTTCTACAGTTTAACATAGGTTGTGGTACTAGCCCCTGGTATAGTGCTTCTCTAATGTGTATTGCCTATCCAGACCCTTCTACATACATTATTACTTTTTACTTTTGCCTTGAATTTCTGTCTGTCATTCTGGTTTAAGGGAGTATGCTTACTCCTTCATGGCATCTTCCTTCATCTGATGTCTTTAAAGGTTCCTGGTTTTGCTTTTCCAATTTTTTTAATTCCAATGGATATAGAGCTTGATTGCTGTACGGTTTCTCGAAATTTCTCATCTTTGACTTTGAAGCATGTGCATTATATGTGTCAAGTTTTTCGAAATGTAAGGGTTTTCATTTTATGACCTTGAAGTCTTACATTTAATTTTGAAACTTTTAACTTCTGCCACAATTTTGACCTGAAAAGACTAGGATTTGCTTGCTTCTACAGAATAATTTTAATTAAAACATCTACTTTTTGTAGTAGCCTTTGCAACCAGAGATAAGTTTCCCATGTTTATTTTACGTGTGGACAACCTGTGACAAGATTTTTACTGCGATCTTTTCCCATATTTCCACATTTTCATTACCTACCTGAGACAGATATGTCCAAAAATATTGTTTGTTACCTTATATCTCTCGAACTCTTTGAACTCGTTGAATAGCAAGACATCATTATTGCAACTATGTGTAAGGAGGTACTATGTCTTTGGCAATGCGTTCCTAATTCATGCCAACTAATAAGACCACAAATTAGAGAATTTGGATGTTCTGAATTTGCTCGTCATTTTTTTTTTTATCTTAGATCCATTTTGTAACTGGCACCTATGTAGAGGCTAGACTACAACACCGGTTTAATGCATACACTATCGAACTACACGTCTTTCCCTCCCGCAAAGATGTAAATAGATCGGAAGGACTATGCAGCCGGCTTGGATCAAATACACTTCGAGAAAAAGGCACTGGAAAAAATCTAGAAGGAGATCCAAAAGCATTTGCCTTATCATGGAGGTAAGAAATTAAACCAAGATTTTTTATCTCAAAATATAGAACATTTGTGTATAATAGGCGTGCATAAACTGGAAGAAAAAAATTAAAATAGTTCGGGTATTCAAAATCAAAAGTCAATAAAACAAGACAAAATATAAGCAGAAAAAAACACAGATTTTCAAAACATCAAAGGTGGGATTAGGTGCCATGGAGAAGTGAGCATCCCCTGCAAAGCGGTTACACTCGCCGTGTGCTCATTAGCATAATCGGAAAATCACGGAAAAATCCGTTGTCAATTCAATGTATAAATAACGGACTAACATATAAAGCACTAAAAATGACCAACGACACGAACAATAAAAATTGTCAAATTTTTGGGACAGGGCACCTGTCCCTTCCTCAGGACAAAGAAAAAAGTTAAAAAGTCATAAGAACAAAGGAAATGAGAAACAAAAACAACTAGTACTACTACTTAACTACTAAACACTATATATTTACAAACTTAGTTAGATGTTGAATTGGAAGTTTTAAGAACACTATTAAAGAAAGAAATCTGGACCGCTATGAAATACGTCCGTTCTATCGAGTATACTCAGGTGGAGTGCAATTTACCTAATTGAACGAATGAATTATGCTAATTAATTACGACAATCAGTTAATCGTACATTGTGTCATTATCTCAATATGGCGTAACTATACTTGATAAAGAATAATCAAAGAAAAATAATATAGCAGGGATATTTTAAAATATGAATTATGATCTATTATAAATTTTGAAATATTTTAGGACTTATTATCGGGAAAAATTAATTAACAAAGGCGTAAGCAATTCATAGTTATGTGGGTTGTTCCAGAGTTGGTGACGCAAATTAACTGTAGAGTTAACACTAAATTGAGGGAATAATCTTGTTTAGTATCTTCAGGAATTGGGTCTAGTTTACGTTCATTCTGGTGAAGTCATTCAGTTTGTTAATACCATAAGGGCGGAATTACTTCAATATGTGCATCCAGAACTTTTCTTTGCTTTTTCTCTGAGCGTCTGTCCATTTTGGGTTATGGTCAATCACCAGTACTGTCATGTCCTCCCATTTGTGACCCTCAAGGTTGAAATGTTCCCCAACGGGTTCATTGAGTTTTCTGGCTCTAATGGTCGGACGGTGGTTATTGACTCTCCTGCGGAGACCTCCTGTTTCACCGATATAATGTTTGGAGCAAACTTTGCAACTGATGAGATAAATGCAGTTGTCAGTATGACAGGGCAAATTCCCTAGTACTTTGTAGCTGCGGCCTGTAACAGGGCTGTTAAAACTGTCTGTGTCAGAGCTGTGCTTACAAAGAAGACATCTTCTGTCACAGCAAGTTTTTAAAGCCCCCGTTAGGTAATGGGTTGTCCAGTCTGGTTCTTACTACCATGTCTTTTAGGTTCTTGGGCGTCTGTATGCAGCCAATGGGGGTTCCTTAAAGACCTCTGCCATTCGTTTTTTGAATGGAGAATTGGTAGGTTCTTTTGAAGGATACCGCTAAGGTTCTTAAGAACGGGATTGTATGTGGTTACCAGAGGGACCCTGCCGCTATTGTCTTTCTCCTTGTAGCGTAGTAGGTTTTGCCTGTCATGTCCCGCCATCTCATCAATAGCTGTTTGTACGGTGCCGGCATTGTAGCCTCTTTTGCATAAGTGGGATTTAAGAAGACCACTTTGCTCCTGATATAAGGCAGGGGACGAACAGATGCGTTGAATTCTGGTGGTTAGACCCTTAGGCACTCCCGTAAGAGTGTGGGGGGATGACAGCTAGTGGGCATAAGATATAGGTGGGAGTCTGTGGGTTTGGTGTGGAGACTGAATTCGATTTCACCATCAATCAGGGTAAGATGTAGTATCTAGGAATACGTTTTTCGAATTAGATAAGTCTACTGTAAATTTGATCGACTGATGAAAGGTGTTGGCGAACGTAAGGAATGCCTCGAGGCTCTTGTTGTTGTTTTTTTTTAGTGTTTTTTATATCCTTTTTTCGCCAACAGTATCTTCACAGATCCACCCGTATATCCATCAGTTTATCCCTTTTATATGTGTAGTTTAGTAGTAGTGCTAGTTGTTTAGCGGTATCCTTGTATAAACAAGATTTTTCTCTCAATTTAATGTAAACTCTACAAATAATTTGCGTAACAAACTCTCGAACAATTCACATTACTATGTATTGCTTACGCTTTTGGTTTTTTTTACATTTCAGAATGTATAATAGATCATAATTCAAATGTTAAAATATCTTTGCTATATTATTTTTCTTAGATTATTCTTTATCAAGTATAGTTACGCCATTTTTAGAAAATGAAACAATGTAAGATTTACTGATTGTCGGAATAAATTAGCATAATTATTTCATTCAATTATGTAAATGGTACTTCACCCGAGTATACTCGATAGACCGGACGTATTGCATAGCGGTCCAGATTTTTTTCTTTAATAGAGTTCATAAAAATTTCCAATTTAACATGTAACTAAGAATGTAAATATATAGTGTTTAGTAGTTTAGTAGTCATGCTAGTTTTTTAATTCTCTTTTTCCTTTGTTTGTATGACTTTCTAACTTTTTTCTTTGTCCTGAGGAAGGGAAAGGGCGTCCAAAGAATCTGACAATTGTTATTGTTCGTGTCGTTGGTCCTTTTTAGTGCTTTATATATATATATATATATATATATATATATATATATATATATATATATATATATATATATATATATATATATATATATATATATATATATATATATATATATATATATATATATATATATATATATCAGAAGACCATGAATTCACAGTGGTCGGTATAGTTGTATCTATATATATATTTATCGCATACGTGTTCGTGATACAGGCCGTTGGATAAACTTATGCTTTATCAACGGGTAGATGCTTTATCAATAGCACTTTCGGTTTTTACACGAGCCCTCGCTTCGAGATTTTATTTCATTGAAACTTTTATTTGTGAAAATTGTTGCCCTAATAAAATGAATGATAAAGGGCAATAATATCGTTAAAAACAAAAAAAAACTTGTATGTCAAAGAAGTGTCTTATTTTATCAAGGAACCTTAAGACAGATGTTAGTCCCCCCCCCCCAACCTTTAAATTGTTTTCGGAGAAAGTAAAGCCTGCCAGTTAAGTTGTTGTTATAAGTCTCCTTTGACATCTTCAACAATGCTTTCTTATATTATGCTACGTATGCATGCCTAGTAATGTAGGTGTAACTTACCATGGATCAGCAATGCATCTAGACGACTAGGCCCCTAGCCTTGCCTAAGACGTTTTTACTGCCATTGTAAAAAGAGTTGATTTTCACGATCCCCATAGGCCTAACAACTTTCAGTCAGAAGTTCGTTTGATGTAAAGCTCCAGCAATTTTAACATGATATTTTCAAAGACTCAGATAGCAAAAATTCTAAATTTTCAACACGATCTACTTTCTTTCGAGGCATGACAACATAACGGTGCTACGTCATCGAGTTATACGTCACCAATTTGAATTGGCAATCATTCATGTAGTTTCGTAGGGAAAGTCTCAAGGTTTTGTTAAAAAGAAAGTCGTATGAGATAAATAGAACATCTATTATTGTGTGATTTGATATTGGCTTTATCCAACTCGTGAAATGGTGTATATTCGCTCGGCAAACCTCGCGAATATATACACACCATTTCAACTCGTTGGATAAAGCCAATATCAAATCACACAATATAGATATCCTCTCTCTATATATATATATAAAATTTAAAATAATGTCTCTGTAATCGGATAATAATACAAAAAAATTATAAAAAGAAACCACAAAAATCCTAAGTTAAGCTTTAGCGCTTTCATTTTTTATTTTGAGAAGCTTACAATAGTATCATAGTAACAGTGATTGTGACGTCATGTTAAGCGTAACCTAAATGTCTATATTATGACGTCATAGATACAATATGAAAAAAGTACGGGAAATCACAAGTAACTTATAAAGCACTTTTAAGTTTTAGTTTAAAAATACTAACATAATTTTTTTTCTTTTTCCCGTCTCTGGATATCAGTGGCACACCTGAGTTTATAGAAAGGAAAAATTTTGAAATGTTTTTAAAACACGCCTCCAGGTGCGAACTTGAATTTGTCTGTATTCGGGTGTACTAATGTGTTGCTTATGTACACGTACACGGGAACGGAGAGTGTTGCCGGTTTCACCAATATAATATTCCTTGCATCAAGGACATGTGATGGCGTAAATGACATTTTTTGTATCACATGACATGTTTTCATTAACTTTAAATTCACGCCCATTGAAAGTATAGCTGGTCCCTTCTGTAATGTATTCACATGTACCGCATCGAGGGTTCTTACACTTAGAGACTATATAAGTATGGTTGTTGAATTGGGAAGAACAAAGTATTCTCTTTAGGTTTTTGGGTTGGCGTTTACTGTTGATAAACGACAGTTCTTGTATACGTTTTTCGTTTGTTTGTCCTCTCTAAAGAGGTTGTTCATTTCATAAATAATTGAACTTATGTTTTAATTTCTCGGGTTATGCGTGTGCACAAATGGTATTATTTCAACGTCATTCGCACGTCGTATGTTTAAAAGTAACTGACTTCTATCGCACTCCTTGGCTTTCTTTATACTATTATCTACAAGTTCTGGATATTTTTGGTTTAATAAATACAATTTTAATTCCTCCAGTCTGATATCCCTGATATTGGTATTACTCACAATGGTGCATATCCTTCTTGCGAGGTTATATGGTATAGCTTTTTAAGTGTGATGGGGATGGCTCGATCCAAAATGCAGATATTGGTGTGTATCGGTTGGTTTATAGTAATTATCCGTATTTAAGCTGGTATTATCCTTTGTTACAAGAACATCGAGGAATGGCATTTGCATATTATCTGTTTCCATCGTGAATTGATATCCGAATTCATTTGGTGAAGTAGATCATAAAACTCCATTAGTTTATCGACATCCTCCTCCTATAAGATAAAACAATCGTCTAAAAATCTTTTC